AATTACAGCAAAAGCCAAATATTCTTGGTACAAAGGACGTAGAGGAAAACTGATTCACATACGTCCTGTAGACATACATGTTATTTGCTGCTTCGCCTGAACAGCGTATTTGTATAACTTGGATTTATGTGGCAATTGCTCTTGAAATTATACTGGAGGTAAAGGCGTCCGCGTTTAGTTTTTCAGGCGGGATTAACCAGTCGAGAAAGAATAAAGGAATTATAAAAATTCTTGGTCTAATGTTCCGCCTTCTGTATACCTTACATATTCCAGCTATAACAGATATAACAGTGATACAGGGTGTTTTCAAAGTTGAGTCATTTATTTTAACAGCTTATACGAGCCCCTTCCCACTCAGTTGGCCCAACTATTGAAATCTTAGTTTTTTCTTATCAAACACAAATAATAAAAATGTAGCAGGGTGTTATAGGTTTAAAATATTAACAATGAATATTTTGATAATATATAGTAGAAAACACCAACTTTATCACTCCCTAATCAAATTTGCAGCATAAAAATAACACATGTTGCAATTACATTACATTATTATTTTCATTTCAATGCAAAATAAGTCTATAACGCATAAGTGGCTGTGAAAAATAAAAGCCATGACAATTGTTTTTATTAATCACAGCTGTCAGAATACGTTTAAAATAGTTTTGGGTAGTTAAGGTTTTCAAAATGGGTAGAGGAAAGGTGATTAGTGAGAAAATTCGGTTACTGATAATTAAATTTTTTAATTCTGGGAAATCAAACTCAGAAATTGCAACTTTGTTAGACTTATCGCGGTACAGTGTGAGAAATATTGTTAGAAGATATAACGTAACTGGTACCAGTTAATATTAAGCCACGATATGTGAAAAAAAGTAATATCACAAATGCCGACCGAAGAGCATTAAGAAGAATAATCGTGAAAAACAGGCGTGCCAATTATATACAATTAAGTGCTCTGTGGAGTGACGCTGTTGGCAGGAGAATTTCGAGGTCCACAACTCATAGAGAGGCCCACAAACTGGGATTTAGTACTTGCAAGGTAAGTTTTCTTATAAAAAAAAGTGAAGTAAAAACTTTAAAGTTGCACAACTTGTTTATAGGCCAAAGAAAAGCCACTATTAACTCCACTGCAACAGAAAAATCGGCTTAGATGGGCTGAAGAACATAGACAATGGACACCTCAACAATGGTGTGCAATACGATGGAGTGATGAGGCCCGATTCGAAGTTTGTGTTGGTGACAGTCGCAGTAGAGTTATTCGCAAACAAAATGAATCATTCCATGTTGACTGTCTGAAGAGAAAAGTGAAATTTCCAGCATCCATTATGGTCTGGGACAGTATGTCATCAAAAGGAGTAGGAAAACTTCATTTTATTGACGGAAATGTGGATACAAACAAATATTTGGCAATTTTAGAAGAATCGCTTTTACCAGTGATGGAAGAACGTTTGACATCCGGCAAAGATTTTGTGTTTCAGCAAGATGGTGCAGCGTGCCATACCTCAAAAAAGGCTATAAAATGGATGGAAGAAAATAATGTACCACTTATGGGTTTCTAGCAGTCCAGATCTGTCACCTATTGAAACTTTGTGGCACGAGATGAAAAAGGTTCTACGACAACATCCTGCTCGTACAATCACCGAGCTGAGACAAAAGCTTCAAGAAATATGGGATTGTTTTACACCAAATTTTTGCCAAAACTTGGTTAACACTATGCCCCAAAGAATTTCAGCCGTAATAAAAAATAAAGGTGATGTTACCGAATGGTAATCTTTCAGTTGTTGCTTTGTTAACTTCGCGCATTTATTCGCACATTGTTTATTTGTTCAGATGTTCTTAAGTTATAGGTCCAAGTGATTTCAAATATGTATTTTTTACGACTAGAGTGTATCTAAAATGTTTTTGAGAAAATAGATTGTTTTAGAAGTAAATAGTTTCGTCATGTTTAGTTTATAAAGGCATATTTTGGTACAAATCTTGAAGTGGGCCAACTGAAGTGGGAAGGGGCTCGTAGAACTCGTCAAAAGAAGTCGATGTACCAAAAATCACCTATCAACTCGTTTTGACGAGTCCTCCAAGCAGTTAAAATAAATGACTCAGCTTTGAAAACACCCTGTATAATTTGCTGACTATACAGCAGTGGGTGCAAATGATGAGGGTATATCATTGTACAGAATGTTACCAAAATTTTATTGAAATGTGGACAATCAAACTAAACGAAATAAAATCGATGGATTTTTGCTTCACTAATCAATGACTGATGAATCATTCTCAAATAAGTGTTTATGATAGAATCATACTACTGGAGCTAAACGCAAACTTGGGAATGACCCTTGGCTCCAGACTCAGGTGGAGGCATCATATCATAGAGAAGAGAGGAAGTGTAACCTCCGCTACAAACAATATTATTGGTTATTGTGAAGATCCCCAAAGCTATCGTTCCATAACAGTATCATGATCTATGCGGATATACCTTCACTATACACTTTCACGAACTGTCTCGATATTTTCCGGAGTACGAACAGTCCGAACACGGCCGACCTTGGCAAGTCTTTAACTTCACCTGTTTGTTCAAATTTCCGCACCAACTAACGGAAGGTGTTGACTCTGGGCACATTATTTCGACCGAAATCTAGCTTCAGAAAACATTTTAACAATACGGACGCGTTGTGGGATCATGTAGCACTCCATGATGAATTGGACACATATGCTTTAAGCAACAACTACGGCGCCACCTACTGAAATACTTTATTAATCTCTAGCTTTCAATGGACTTTGCCATCTTCATCAGGAGCTGCAATAACATTGAGCAAAAATAGCAACTATAGTGCAAAATGATTTTGAGAAAAAAACAATTATTCAAATTTTCAAGGTATCTTCAAAATATTACACAAAATCCGCAATTTGAATCAATGATTCTGTTTACGGACGAAGCTAATTTTTCTCGAAAGGCCATTCAGAATTTTCACAATAATCATTTGTACGCAGAAGAAAATCCCTATGCCGTAACCGCAACCCATTTCCAACACCAACTTTCTGTTAAACTATGGGCAGGAATGGCAACCACTTTATTGGCCCATTCTTCTTGCCGGGACGACTTGACGGACAGACTTACCTCAATTTTCTTCAACAACAGTTGCCTTTGCTGCTTGATGATGTTCCGTTAGTAATAATAAACAATATCATGAATGATGGTGCACCACCGCATTTCAGTGTAGCGGTTCGTAATTATTTACAAACTGTTTATCCAAATCGTTGGATTGGCCGCGGTGGGCCCCAAGAATGGCCACCAAGGTCCCCAGACCTCAACATTTTAGATTTCTTTTTGTGGGACTATCTTAAGACACTGGTGTCCACAAGTCCCATTAACACTGTAGAGGAATTAAGAGAAATACTAGTTGCAGCTTGTGATAGAATAAAAAACACTCCAGGGATATTTCAAACGGGTGCGCAATTCCATGAGAAGGAAGGCGAAAGCATGCATACTAAGTGAAGGGAGCCATGTTCAACAATTTTTGTAATCACTTAGTTGGTTTTAATGTTATGTTTATGTTGTCAGCTGTTGTTGTTCACTACCCCTAATGTGTTTAATTTTTCCAATTAAATTAATAATAATTTTGCAAGTTAGACAATAGAACGGTTTTTATTTTTTACTCAAAAATGGCGCATCGAAGGAACTCAGTTCAAGAGAGATCATTTGTTTTAAATTGAACGGGGATTTCAAAAATAATTTTGATTTCGCAAAGAACCATTGGCGTACCATTTTTTTCTTAAAAAATATCGAAGTCAATACCCGTACGAACGCCACTGTTAAAGCTAAAAATTTATTTTGCATTGAAAAATATGCAACTTTATTAATTTTTACTATGTACTAAATATCAGTGAAATATCTGAAGCGGTTTTGAAAATATTAACCATTTTTATCCTAAAACTTCAACACCCCGAGTTTTTGTAAGGAAACATTTTTGGACCATAGTTTATAAAGCAAACCAACATTAATTCTTCATGTAGATTCACACCCTTAAATATTCGCATATCATTAAGGAGCACCCTGTATAAAAAAAATTTCTGTCTTGCGACAAAAAGTTGAAACAATATTACTTAACCCTCCAAACATATAATTTGCGCATTTCTCTTTCCATCCCTTGTTTTAGTCAGGTTAATAATTTTTGGAGTACTTGGATTTGGAAGGTATTTTATTTTTTACCTTCGATGTAACTAACCAAATCTTTTCGTGAATAGTGTATTGTTGTGAACATCTGCTAAAGACTATATGGTTAAGTTAACTGTAGCATGCTAAACTCCGCCATATAAGTCTGACATTTAGCTAGACTGCAATGTAATTGTAGATAAATAAAATAGTCTATTATTATAACTTGTGTGACTTCAAGATTTTGGGATTCATTTTATGAAATAATAGTACCATTTCACCTTAAATTTGGTCGGTTTGTCATGTTACGATATTTGCATTTTGATTTTTTAGAGATTTCGCCGGGATGGCCCTTTTGTCCTCAAAATAAATTCATCAACTTTAATTTAATAATGTTTCAAAGCTCATTCATTTATTCGCGGTTAGTACTTAATTTTTAAAAACAATATCGCGAACGAATATGATTCATTGTGATTAAAAATGTGTTGTTTTGATACTTGGAGATTTGTTTTGTGAAATAATAGTAGGTATCATTTTCAACACTTTTTTCAATCTCTTATTATTTGCCGATAATTTTGAAGTTTGTGAATAATATTCCTGGCCTATCATATTTCGATGTTGAGGCCGACTAGTTCCTCAGGTTCAGTTGAACTACTTTGTAGGCTCAATTTGATAGACAAGTGACTTATGATGATCGCATGTTGACATGAAACCATCAATCTGTCAGAATCTGTGCTTTCTCAAATTCAATATCGATTTTTAACGGTCTCTAGCTTACTACACCTGAAGGGCTATGTGTGTATAATTTTGCTGAGAAAATACATACTTTGAGCATCCGATATAGTGCATTTTCGAGATGGAGCACCTGAATTTCGAAGCTATCGAAAAAAATGACTTCATGAGGTTGAAACTGAAGCTACATTACCATCTATCCGTAAATAAATGTCAAAATGGGGCACAAGGTAACACAGATAACACTCCTGAGGTACCAAACAAATTCGTTGCCCCAAAATTGAAGGATGTCAAAGTTCCAGCCAAAAAGAATCAAGCTAAGAAAAAAGGAGGAAGTAAGAGAAACATTAGTCATGATGTTGAATGGACTCCTCCAAGGCATTTTGGAAAATCCGGAAACTGCAAAACAAAGGTATAGAAATAAGATTGAACGATGTATGTTTTGGTAGTTATTTGATTTATTTGTAACTAATCTAAAACCCGTTTTATATATACAATAAATACCTGAATTCAAAAATATGGTTTCTGTTTGTGAGACCCGCCTCAAGATCAAAAGTACAATACATACTATATACAGTGGCGTAGCGTCCGTTTTTGTCTCCCGGGATCACCGCAAACTTGCCGCCCCTCTTTATTTTATTTATCAGTTTAGTACATTAGTAAAAGACAAAAGAAGCATCTTTAAATCCTTTAATTAACTAAAAATGTGTTTTCATAGCAACATTTTTTATACAATCCTCAATATCAATATGTATGCCATGTTCATTTGTCGAAATAGCTAAATTTGAGAGCTTCAACGTGGACATAGTCGATCTGAGATAATTCTTAATTAACTTAAGCTTGCACAACTGGCATTACTAATGGAAGATGCTGAAAAAATCTCGACAAAGTTTGGTAAGCCATATTTGAGCTTGGACTCAATCATGTACTTTAATAAGCCTAGAGAGATGGATTTAATCAGCTCTTTTTTACAGTCTGATTCTATTGGAATTTATTATTTTATCATGTCTTAAGGTGCTTTATCCAAGTTAAGTTCGTTCACATTCAGTACCACTTAAGACCTTTAAAAACCATATTTTTAAGCTAAATTCTGCAGCTGTTGGAATCTTTCTCTAATGTCAGCAGTTAGTCTGGCTACTAAAGAAAACTTTGCTATAATAATTGTTTAATTCAGTTGCCCATTTCACCAACAATACAGTTTGTTCAATTGCCTCTTGTCTGCTGACAACTTGTTATTTAACATATCTTGATAAATAATACAATCTGAAGTGATTTGGCAACATAGTACACATTTTACAAATTTCCGTTCCATCCATCGACACTGACATCACCAACTTTCTGTCACCTGTCAAATGTTCCATCCTACTTGTGATCCTGTGCCCACCATCTTGTGCAGCATCAGGTGACATACAGCTGTGTGTAGTTTATATTAATTTTGACGAATGTACCATGTATCCAGCATTCACCAGGTTACTGGTTGTTTCCCTCAACCTAAACGTTAATAACATTTAGCAACTCACGTACGACTGTAAGTTAATTTAAAATCATTTTGCACTATAGCTGCTATTTATTCTCAATGTTATTGCAGCTCCTGATGAAGATGGCAAAGTCCATTGAAAGCTAGAGATTAATAAAGTATAAAGAGTCCTCTTTGCCTGAATTTTGTCGAAGTACTTAACAAAAGGCGGAAGCTTTATATATATATATATATATCCGTAGATAAGAAAATGACTCTCACAGGCATGATTAAAAAAGGAAATGTCGACAAGTAGATCGACTCAGCACTTCACATGCATTCATATTCAACCTTCCTTTACTAACGTATACGTCCTGAATTTCTGAAAATGTTTCCCTCAGGTGCACCATAATATAGTTATCGTTTTTGATGACTCCTAATACGTATGTCATGATTCAAATATTTAAGCGATTATAATTCTGTAAAACAACGTAGTTTGGTAATCGGCACGACATTATTTCATTATGCAGCAGAAACACGCAAAAACGTAGTTTCTAAACGGTTTGAAGCCGTTGTGTTTTCTGCTCATTAATAAACTGTTGTATTTGTCTAGAGTTTCTTGGGGTAAAGTGTTTCCTTCTACGCCCCTTGCAGACGCTCAGAAGATAGCCGATGTAAATACACCATTAACATTTCGTCGAACGAAGATGTCAAAAAATAATGAGAGTCAATTTTAGTACAGCATCAATAAAATGAATGGAATTTACACGTAGATTTATTTCTGGATGAGTTGTATATCGATACGCCGTTAAAATACATCTTGTTCTTGGTCTAATCCAAATATGCCTTATTTTCTGAGTAAACAACTTAAATTTACCACCCACATAAATATTGACAATGATTATTTTGGTATGCCATTCACAAAATTTATTCAGTACCAAGCTCCCCCACTTGGTCCTGTACTTTGTGGAGCAGGAAGGGTTTAGCGAAGATAGAGCACCTCTGGAACATCAGCTACTCCAGACTATTGAAAAGGTGATACGACCCAACGGAATTTTCCTTATTAGGGTAAGGTTACTATGGATTGGAATTTTGACGGAATTTAGTTCTGAAAAAAATTGTGTGCGTTAACTGACACTTTGGCAGTCAGTCCGTTTTTGCTGCCCAGTAAATATGAACGAAACTGACGAATTTTCTTTTATTTCACTGAAGTTACTGTTATTAAACGGTGGAAAAACAGAACATTATAAAATATCTTTTTACTAGTAACATTAGTTGTCGCCATTATTTACCGAAGAAGCTACTTATCTCCCTCTAGGTAAATAATAATGATGAAAGACATCAGTTCATAGAGATTTAAGTTTAGCGCTATTTAAATCCTCTGAAAATTCAGTTACGAACATGTGCTACAGAGACATTAAATTGGTTTAAGTCAGTCAAAAAGGTTCATACAATTAGTCCATACACATTGTTTCCCGGCCCTACGGAAAGTTACTGTTCATCTGGCAACGTTGTCCCTTATCAGCAAGTTATCGTTCATGGACCGTGTATATGTTTTTTGCGCTTCAGTATGGATAGATTAGTCAGCCGGACCGGTTCGACGGGCGGTGAACTTAGAATGTATCGAAAAAAATTATCTATCATCAAGTATTTGAGGAAAATGTACGGGGAAATGCATGATGTGTGAAATATAGGTAATGTAAGTTTGAATTATCGGGATTGGCAGCGTATAAATATACTAAGATCAAAACATTTGCATACAAACTTCTCCACCCCCTACAACCCCCGAATTTCAACCGCTACAAACTGTCCGGAAATGATCAAGATCCTTTGAATCATCAATAAACGAAGTTTGAGCGATTTTTATTCCTTTCATTCTGGACACTTTTCTCCGCCGCCACTGGACAGATTATCAAAAACTACACAGCTTTTTTGTCATTTCATTGTAGCAGCCTTGTTCCAAAATTTCATCAAAATCCGAGTGGAACTTTTCCAGTTATAAACGGTCCAAGGATTAGCGGACATACATACAGGGTGACTTCGAAGTTGAGTCATTTATTTTAACAGTGAGTAGATCTGATCAAAAGAAATGTTTTTTTTCTTTAACATTTTAGTGGTAAAATTAAAGTAACAAAGTTATAGCCCTTTAGAAGTTTGAGTACCGCCCTGTGTCAATAATAATAGCATGTGCTCGTGTTTGGCAACAACGGATATAATCCGCCTTATCGGTTCATCGCATCGGAAACAAAAAAGCGAAAGAATTTGAAACGCTGATCACGATGTTTTTATTCAGTCAATGTGTCAGTCAGTAACGCGTGAGTGAATAGTGGTGTTTGCTGCGTGGCTCAAACGAAATAAAAAATGGCACATGTTTATGCGGATCGGTTTCCCAATCGAGTGCAACCAACCCCTCGTGCCTTTGTTAATGTAGTACAACGGGCTCGTGAATCAGGTGACTTAAGACCTCACAGGGGAGGGCATGCCGGTGCTCCAAGACCTCACGATCAAATACAGGTCCGCACTGAAATAATTGTCGGGAGGATACTTTATAAAACAAGGTAAATTTTTTTTTAATTTTTCTTAATTTCTCAACTTCAAAGTCATCCTGTATACAGACCGTCATATAACATTCAAAAAACACAATATATCACTTTCGAAATTTTATGCGTAGGACCTACCAGTAAATGCAGTGTTTATTTTATAACTGAAATTACCGTTGATGATTGTGCTTATTTATCCCACTATTTTGACACTTTGGAAGTCCCATGTTACTTGATGGATTAGGAGTATAAAAATTTGGAAAACGAATGATCGGCGGAAGCTCTCTCTAAGCGCCGTTCTGTGGTGTAGATATTGCGTCGGCTTTATCCAACAGTGTTGCCGGATTTCAAGGAGATTTTTAGATATGCTATATTCCAAACGTTTAGTCAAATTGAATGTGGTAATATATCATAGTTATGAGTGAAAAAAATACTAAACATATCTCGATGAAGCAGGCCACTGTTGCCCTCGCACATTATATCGCTCAACGCTATGTGCTTTAGGTGAGCGCTTGGCCAGTAATGTACTGTATGTAATGTACTATTTATTGCAACTTTTCGTAATATATTTCAGTGTACTCAACAGGACGCCTTTCAAGCATTACGTAAGCAGATCTTTTACAATTATTAACCCCCTGGCCCTTGGCAGCAAAAGTAAATAAATTTCTCACCCCCCCCCTTCCACGCTTACGTAAGCATTTTGTTACAATTTCACTATCTAAATCAAGTATGTGTGTGTTTTGAATACAATTTAAAGTCTGGAAAATCAGGAACCCAACATACTTTGCAGTAACATGATAACATTCAATTTCCATACCTCTGCTAATATACTAAGTGACATATAAATCCGAACACCCAGTTTAAATGGTTTTATTTTAATAAAATTTTGTATAAGTACTTAATGAAGCATAATAAGTAAATGATAAACATTTCAAAATGATTGCACTGCTTTAAAGCCCTTTGACCTTTAATAATCTGTGGATGCACCCTGATGTGCTACGCATTCTCCAACGCGCCTAGGCATGCTTCTGATCAGGTGGTCAATGTCCTCCTGTGGTATCTCATTCCAGGCAACCACCAACTCCTCTCGAAGTGCTTCTAGAGTCTGAGGAGGACGTTGCAAATTGAGCAATCTCCTACCCATCATATCCCACACGTGCTCAATTGGGGATAAGTCGGGAGATCTTGGTGGCCATGGTAACAATGTGACATCATTATGTTGAAAGAAGTCTATTGTGACTCTTGCAGCATGTGGTCGGGCATTATCTTGTTGGAAAGTTGGATCTGCCAGGGTGTCAAGATAGGGTAAAAGATGGGCTTCTAGAACTTCGTGGATATAACGCTGCGCGTTCATGTTACCTCTGATGAAGGTTAAAGGTGACCTGGAACCATAAGCTATAGCACCCCAAACCATAACTCCAA